GGAGGGCCGCCAAATGCTCTCTACCAATATTGCCGATTTCAGGTGGTTATAAAGGCTATGGATTGAGTTCGGTTGTGGAAATGCTGTGTGGAATGCTATCGGGCTCCCATTGGGGACCTAATATCCGTAAATGGATGTCGGCTACATCAGACGCTGATCTCGTAAGCTTAATCATCTCTAAATGTGACGAAGTAATTTGAAAGTAAGGATTTCCAGCAGAAAGCTGTATCTCTTTTAGGGACAAGCTTTCCTTGCAATTGACCCTGAGGCATATGCGCCTGGATTCAACGCAAGGTTACAAGATTTCATGGACACCCTGAGAGGACTACCTCATGTAAGTGCGATTGTATTTCCGAAGACTCTCAGTGAAGTTTTTTGGCTCCACGGTGTCTAACAGTTGAGACGATAGGTCCCTTATGTCGCGGAAGAAAAATTCCTTTCCGAAAAACCCTGTGTAGTTTCGATCGGGAGACCCGCATTGCGGCGATGCACAGAAACTAGCCAGTTGACTCGTTGTAGTCCAAGCGTTTCACTTTAAATCCAAATGGCACGATACAAGGCGTGTAGAATAAATGCGCCTAGCGAGACAAAATTCGAAGGTGCCCCCATAGCGCCCTATCAAGTTGCATCGTGCCGACGGCTGTAGCACTTACCTGCCCACAACTGGCGGCAGGGTACAGGATCGTGATGTGTGAAGCGGTGGTGTCTGTACGACCCTCATCGATGGAGGGTATTTGTACGCCACATAAGCCACCTAAAATAGGGTCTCGGTACGACCCCTGTGCGTCTTCTACGACCCCCCTCAAGGGCAGGTGCTAGTATGCCACCCCTCCCCACCTAAAATAGGGTCTCGGTACGACCCCTCCCCTCTTCACCAACAGATACCTACCAATTTCCCACATTTTCCAGTTTTTCACCCAAAAATTTTCCGTCGAGCGGGGTTGAGGGAGGGTATAAAGACAATGTGAAGCGGGAAAATTTCTTAGAGTCTCCTTCCCCCAAACTGGTACCACTTTTTCCCCCGGATTTCCTACTGTCTTTTCCCGAACTTCCCTAAAGTTTTCCTTCTTTCCCCCAGAAATTTCAATGTCGAACGAGGAGGGGGGAGGTATGGCACATGTAAAACGGCAAAAACCACGAAAACTCCGAAATCGGAAAAAATTTTCCCAACGCCGCAAATTCCTCTCTAAGCTAAGACAACGATGATGTACCCTGACTGGCGGTACATTCACATCAACGCTGGTGCTTCCATTTGCTTCCTTTATGACGTGCAATTGGTATGAAGCGTTGCTACATGGATGCATGAATACCTGCGTGAAGCGTATCTACCGGAGCGGTTGTTGGCACGATGCCAATAGGAAACTCGTCCAAAATTGCTCGTCAAACTCATGTAGAACAAGGGTTTTCGCGAATTTTTCGTTCGTTAAACTTCGCTTTTTTCATCATTTTTCCCACTATCCTCGCTACCATTTCTGAGCAACTACTAAATTATTGTGCCTTATGCCTTCGACTCATTCGGGTGCTAGTGCGAATGCCGCAACGCAACTTGCAACGTTGCATCGCCGCAAAGTGGATTTCCTGGCCCACTCCACTTGCGAGCATATACCGGGGGTAGCCAAGGCATTATCTTTTGTAGCAATGTAGTTCAACCTTAAGCAACCGCCAACAATGGCGCTATCTATGAAAAATCGCTTTTAAATTCCTGACCCCAATATGGACCTAGCTTTCTCGCTTTTGTAAGTTAAAACTTCACCAGAATTGATTCAGAAGCGCTTCAGGCTTTGCAGTCCCATGCCCGTTAATTTCCATTTAATGCGTTCCCCTTATGGCTTTTTAGCCACTAGTCATGTGGGCGGAGACAGACAGCCTCCTTTCAAAACTAGTTCTGAATGACAGCTGAGTGCGTATTTTGCCAATTTCATCTTCTAAGTCAATAAATAGGAAGGAATAAGGGGAGGGGATGGTGCGATGTACTGTAAATGCAAAATCTGCCCAAAATAACCAATATCTCTGACTGCTCGCCTGTCTATGTGACAAGAGAATCGTAATTCACCGCGCTGTGGGCGTCGCGTGCGACGTCGCGCCCGCAAATGACGATGGTTCCAGGTAGTAGATGGCGACAACAGGCAATTCAGAACCGAAAATAGTCATGAATGTCTACGATGACGGGGTCTACATGAAGTCCGGTGCTCCAATCGACAGGTTAACACGAGTTAAGAAAACGCCGCGCCCATCGCCGCGCGGCGGAGCGGCAAATTACGATCCTCTTGCCCGTCTCCCTTCTGTCTCTACCCA